GTGGCTGTCTGCAGTTGCCCGCTCCCGGGAGTTCCGGGAACTCAGCCGTGGGATCACGTTGTCCTCCCATCCCCCTGCCCGGTTATCTTCAGGGTCGCCCTTTCCTGGAACCCGTGTGCAACCCCAGCCTCCCTCCCAAGTACCCTGAAGGGGCAGTAGTAGGGGATCAGCCCGGGGGGTTGTGTGGTGTGTGCAGAGGACGGGCCGTTGGTGACCTTCACCCCCCGTCCGCAACATTCTCCCTGTCCCCTCTCTCTGCCTTTTGGCCCAGTTTCTTCAGTACACAGCAATACCTGCTCGGTCTCCCTTCATCCCATCACCAGGAAAGAAGGTATTAAATGGAATCTTCTGTCACGGGCACTGCTTGCCTAACGCTGTTCAGAGGCTCACTACTGCCCAACCCGGTCCAGGACGGTGTTTCCCAAAGCGTGGGATGCCCCTGGGAGAGTGATTATTTCAGGTGATATGCAGTCTCGAAATTAAATAATATATGAAGAGAACTGATGATTTCCCTTTCAATTTTCCTGACAATTGTATAGTATTTAGCGTGTGCCATGCTCTGTTTTAATCACCTTCCCTCTCTGAATCCCCAACAACCCTAAAAGGGAAATACTATTATTTATGAGGAGTATCTGGGTGGTGCAAACAGTTAAGGCTTTCGCTACTAATCCAAAAGTTGGATGTTAAAGTCCACCCAGGGGCTCTTTGGAAGAAGCCTGGCTGGCGACCTACTTCCAAAAAATCAGCCATCGAAAACTCTATGGAGCTCAGTTTTACTGTGACATACATGGATTCGCTATGAGTCAGGAGTCAGTTGGAGGGCTAGTGGTTGTATAATTTATGATCCTATATTACTAATGAGAAACTAAGACACAGAGTGTAAATTGCCCAAGGACACAATTAGGAATTGATTCCTGTGGATATGAATCTAGTCTGCCTACCAAGGGAAAGGGAAAGAGAAGTTCAGAACTAAGGCCACCGTTTGGCCTAAGTATGTCTTTAACACCTGTCGACTGCTTTAAAATCTTTTATACAAGATTTACCTCCTAGTTTGTTGCATTTTCCTGGGGGTCTTAAAAGCTTACAAGCAGCCATCCAAGGCACAACCATTGGTCTCTATTTGCCTGGAGCAACAGAGGGAGAAAGAGTTAGCAATAAGAGGAGGAAACAGAATGTGTAGCTAATTGCCTCCATGAACAACTGCCCTCTTTGCCATGAGACCAGGAAGAACTGGATGGTGCTGGCTACCATTACTGAACATTTTTATCAAAGATTCTATAGAAAAATCCTGATCAAAGGGGGGAAATGCAGAATAGAATTCAATTTCTCATGGACTGTAGATTTTCTGGCACCAAGGAAGCTGGATGAACCCCTGAAACTATTTTCCTAAGATAGTCTTTAAAACTTAGACCAAAAATGTTCCCTGAAGTCTTCTTAAAATAAAACAGTAGCTTAGCTTAACTAGTAAAAAAAAAAAAAAAAAAAAAAACTAAACCATATGGGACCATGTTACACCTATTAAATCAGCAAAAAATAAAACACAAGAGACGACTCGTCTTAGTTATCTAGTGCTGCTATAACAGAAATTCCATAAGTAGGTAGCTTTAACAAATGGAAATGTATTCTCTCACAGTTTAGGAGGCTAGAAGTCTGAATTCAGGGTGCCAGCTCCAGGGGAAGGCTTTTTCTTTCTGTTGGCTTTGGAGGAAGTCCTTGTCTCCTCTCAGCATTTGTGGGCCCAGCATTCCTTGGAGATCTCCATGCATCTTGGCATCAGGCTTCCTCTGGGTCTAGGAGGTTCTCAGCGTGGGGACCCCGGGTCCAAAGGACACGCTCTTCTCCCAGCTTTTCTTTCTTGGTGGTAGGAGGTCCCCCTCTCTGCTTGCTTGTTTAATCTCTTTCATATCTGAAAAGAGATTGACTCAAGATACAACCTAATCCTGTGGATTGTATCCCACCTCATTAACATAACTGCCTTTAATCGTGCCTCATTAACATCATAGACGTTAGGATTTACAACACATAGGATAATTATATCAGATCACAAAATGAAGGATAATGACATCAGAACACACAATGGAGGTTAGTTACATAATACTGAGAATCAAGGCCTAGCCAAGTTGACACACATTTTTGGGGGACACATTTCAATCCATAACACCACTCAAGGTTGCAAGGCTGGGAAAAAATGGCACCTCACCTATTGCTGGTAGTGTTGAATGGTGTATGGGACAAGCACCATAAAAATATTCAGAGCTTTGAAGCAGATAACCTAGTCCTGGGGCTTTTCCTAAGGAAATGATTCAACAGGGGCTAAAAAGCAGCATGCACAGAGAACCTCCATTTGGCTTTTTTTTTTTTTTTTTTTTAAGTAATAAGAATTAGAAACTGTCCAGAAGAGATCCCAAAGAATAAATTGGTTAAGTAAGTTATGCTTTAAAATTGTAAAAAAAAAAAAAAAAAATTTATACAAACGCTAACATCGAGTTTATCTCAGGGCAGGGACAAAAGAGATCCAGAAATGAATGAACACAAAAAATATTCTTCTACATGTTGTATCTCTAGAAGTAAGACTAATTCTCATTTTTAGTAGTGATAGAGAATTTACTTTTCCTATGAATATATTTCAGGAAGTATGAATCATTTAAAGGAAAAATGTTAAGTAATATGAAAATTTTTCAAGGAAAATGTCAGTAAAATACTGGTGCAGATGGTAGCAGAAATTGCAGAGGTCCTTCGGTATGTGACGAGAAGATAGAAAAATGTCCCCTGTGCTATTAATGATAATGAAAAAATGTTGTTGTTCTGTTGGTTGCTGTCAAATCAATTCCCACTTATGGTGACCCCGTGTGTGTGGCGTAGAAGTGCTCCATAGGGTTTTCAAGGCTGTGACCTTTCGGAACCAGATGGCCAGGCCCGTCTTTGAGGCTCCTCTGGGTGGTTTTGAACCAAAAGCCTTTCACCTAGTAATCGAGAGCTTAACTGTTTGTACCAGCCAAGGACTCCTAATAAATATTAGCTCATATTTACAGAGCACTCATGTGCCAGGCACCATTCCAAGTTTTTGCATGTACTAACTCATTTAGTCCAGTGAGCCAGATGCTATTATTATGCCCCCTTTACAGTGAAGGAGACTGAACTGCAGGGAGATTGAGTCATACATATGTAGGTGACAGAGGTGGGATATGCCCTCATGCAGGGTGACCACAGCATCATACCCTCACCCACCACCCCACCACCACTTCCCGTGAAGGACCAGGATACTGAAACCCTGGCACAGAGGCCCAGTGGAAAGAACACTGAGCTGGGAGTTGGAGTCTGTCTGCATAGCTCTGTGACCTCTCTGTACTTCCTTTTCCCATCTGTCAAGCCCAGGACAGAACTGGACCATCTCTGAGGGGCCCGTCCTTCTCTCAACTGTGAGAGGCTGTGAGTGACGGGATTTAGTATCCAGAGACAAATGGTCTGCCACCTTTGGCCAGGGTGTGAGGCCAGCTGTAAACTTAGGCTCAAATACTTTTCTCTACCTCCAGACAAAAAAACCAGGTCTGGTGTTCTTGGCTATCAAGTATCATCCTCACCAGTGTGAGTATGTGACCTGTGACCTAGAGAGGGTCATTCATTCCTCTCAAAAATTTGGGTTTGGGTCCCAAATATGTCCTCATGTAGATAACGGAAGAAAATCTGCCATTTCTGCTACAACCTGCACCAGGATTTTACATAATGTTTTTCTTTGAATGAGTCATATTTCCTAAAATATATTTCTATGGAAAGCAAATTCTCTCATTCCTGAAAATGAGAATCTTACTTTCAGACACAGAGGGTAACCATAAAACATATGTGTATACCTGCATTTTTTTTTATTCATTCATTTCTTCATCACTTTTGTCCCTATCCTGAGTTGAACTTGAGGGTAGCTAACTCTTGTTTAAAGGATTTTAAGGAGCACAGAGGTGTTGAAGCCATACTTGGGCCAAAGGGCAGCTTTATCCTTGAACTTCGGTTTCCCTTGAGAGGCTGACTGAATTCACATCCAGAGGCAACAGTTTCTAGCTCTGTGATTTGGACAAGTTAGTTAACACTCCTTGTGTCTTAGTTTCTCATTAGTTAATATGGGCTCATAAATAATAGTATTTCCCCTTCAGGGTCGTTGTGAGGCTTCAAAGAGTGAAAGTGATTAAAACAGAGCCTGGCACATTCTAAATATAAATGCGATCCAGTTGTCAGGAAAACTGAAGCGGAAATACTGTAATCATTTTTCTTGTTATGCTGTTTAATGCCAAGACTGTCTATCACCTAAAATAATCACTCTCCTGAGGGCATCCCGCGCTTTGGGAAACACCATCCAGGACCGAGTTGGGCTGTAGTGAGCCTCTCAACAGTTTTGAGCAAAGCAGGGCCCACTACAGGTGAGCCCATTACACTCTGTCTGGCATGGTGAATGGAATGAAGGCAGGCAGGCCGAGCAAGGCGTACTGTGTACTGGAGAAATGGGGCAAAGGCCCGAGGTAGGGACAGGGAGAGTGCTGCGGGAGGGAGGCGAAGTACAAGCAACAGCCGGTCCTTTGCACACGACACACATTCCCGCTCAGATCCGCCACTACCGCACGATTGGGGTACGTGAGTGCTCGTGGCAAGGGTTGTACACAGGTTGCAGGCAATGGCGACCCTGAAGATAACCGGGCAGAGGGGTGGGAAGACAAGGTGATCCCATTGCTGAGTTCCCGGAACTCCCGGGAGCGGGCAATAACCGACAGCTACGGGAAAATGGGAAAGAGGCTTGCAGGCGGCTGGGACACGGAGTTCCGCACGGCGCACGGCCCCTCCCGCAAAGGGTCGCAAAGACGCGGCCGGTGGTGCGCACCGAGCGGCGCGCTGGGAGCAGTGCGCCCGGCCCAAGCGCTGCGCTCAGCCCGCCGGGGGCCCGCGGGGCGGTGATGACACTGGGGGCAGGGCCAGGGCGGGGCGGGGCCTTTGCACCCGGGCCGGTCCCTTGGGCTATGAAGAGGCGGGCGGCCTCGTGAGCTCCAGCAAGCCTTCCAGCGGCCTGACACCCTCTTCGCCACCTGCCTTCCAACCACTGGCCTCACCTAGCTCGAAATGGACCCCAACTGCTCCTGCGCTGCTGGTAAGGGACGCCTGGCTTCTGGCCTCAGGATGCCAAACTTTTGTCAGAGGCGGGGCTCAGTGTCTCTAGGGGTCAAGGAGGAAGCACTTTGATTTCTGGGCTGACATAGATCCTTTAGTTCTCAAGTCTAGTGCTTTCTCCCTCGCCAAGCGCCTTCACCTCTCCCCAACTAGAGCATTTGAATCTTCCCAGCGTTCCCCCAATTCAGAGGCCATAGGACTGAGGTTGAAGCTGTCACGTTGGACATCACCCAGGTGGCAGGTGGTCAAGAGCTGCTCGCTGGACCCCAGTGCTGTGTCCAGGCCTCTGAGCTGCCTGGGCTGTATGGGAGGAAGGAGACATTCTCTCTTTGGGGCTCAGGACATAAGGTCCTGGCCAGCCAGGCCAAACTTTCCTGGGCTAGGTCTGGAGCCGGGGGCCTTTTGTAGTAAAAACAGGAGGGTGCACTGCCCCTCCCGCCATGAGGGGAGAGCAGTGGTGACTAGACCTCAGTCTGCCCTGAGGTGACAGGAGCTCCCGGGGCTGAGCCCAGCTCAGAGCAAGGTGCAGGGAGCGTTTGTTGACTGACTGCTAGATCTTCTGGATCACACTCATGGCTCACAGCTTGTCTGTCTTCCTTGCAGGTGACTCCTGTGTCTGCGCTGGTTCCTGCAAATGCAAAGAGTGCAGATGCACTTCCTGCAAGAAGAGTGAGTGTGGGACCTTCCCCGGGAATCTGGGGGCTGAGCAGGGGCCAGACCCAGGGCTCAGCAGGCAGGAGCAGGTTAATGACCTGGCTTCTTCCCATCCCCTCTCCCAGCACCTGATTCAGAATCAGAGCTAGAAGAGCCTTAGAGGGGTTGAACCCCAAATTTTTATTCTAGAAGGAGGAAACTGAGCCAGAGTATTCACCAGATAGTGGCAGAGCTGCAAGTTAAACCTAATCTCTGACCCCGGCTCCTTCCTACCCCACCCCACCCCACCCAATGCAGCTTCCTTAGCCCTCCCGTGATCTGAAGTACTTCATAGGCATGAACTTCTGGACCAAGCGTGGTTTCTCTGACCTGCTAATGCGGCCCTTTCTGTCGAGGCAGCCCGGGCCTTCACTGGCCCAGACAATTCTCCTCTGTCAGTGGTTATCCGCCTCTCTGATCTTGAGGCCTTGGTCATTTGGCGTATGGTTTAGGGGACTGACCTTCATTTGCCCTCTGAGGCCTGTGTGCTCTGCTCACTGTCACTCCCTCACTAGACTCTGCACTGTCCTGGGCTCAGAGGGAACAGGGCAGCCTTTTCCTAGTGTGACCCAGACCCAAATGTCCCACCAGGTGTCTCAGAACAGAGCATGACTTCCAATATTTTGGTCCCTCGGGTTTTGGGCAGAGTATGTGCCAGGCGTGTTGTTGGGAAAGGGAGGTGCCTGGTCTGATCTAACGTCTCACTCCCCTCTCTCTTCCTCAGGCTGCTGCTCCTGCTGCCCCGTGGGCTGTGCCAAGTGCGCCCAGGGCTGCATCTGCAAAGGGGCATCTGACAAGTGCAGCTGCTGCGCCTGATGTGGGAGAGCCCTGCCCAGATGTAAACAGAGCAACCTGTAGGAAGCCGGAGTTTTCTTTTCATACAACCAACCCAGACCCATTTGATACATTCCATTTTCTATGAGATTTGTGAATGACAATAAACACATCCAGACTAATCTAGTCTAGTTGCATCTTGGTGTGTTGGGAGTATGGGAGATGAGGAAGAGAGACAGGAGAGTGGAAAATGGGATGCAGGTTTCCTAGGGTCTTGTCTGGCCTTGGCTTTCTCCTCGGTGAGCTAAGGCTCAGGGCTTCTTCTACTGCCTTCAGAGGCCAACCCCCCTGCTCTTGTTGCGTATCTGATTCACAGCCGATGTTCACTCAATAGCTACCGATCCCGCACACTGCGCACACAGCCAGGGTCTCGGTGGTAAGTGAAACAGACCCAAAGCTTACAGGCTGCTGGAGAGAGACAGACAATTCCAGAACAAGAAGTCCTGTAAAAGAATCAGAGTAGATGTACGCCTGAGAATGCAGGTGCAGAGAGGCCAGATGGAGAGCCCTCCCACTGAGGCCTGAGAGCTCCATGCCTGGCAGGACCTTGAGCAAAGGTCCTTTAGAGGGAAAGAGTTTGGTGTGTTCAGGAAACAGAAGGCTGGTGTGTCTGGGGCATCATGTGTGAGGGGTGTGGCCCAAGGTCACTTTGGAAAGGGGAGATCCTGTGTCTCATTCATCTCTGATGACTCCCAACCTGCTTGTACAACTGAATCACTTGGAAAGGTTGAAAAAGTGCTCAAGACAGAATCTTGCTCCCCACTGTGATTTCTTAGGTCTGAGATGGGCCCAGGAACCTGTGTTTTTAATAAGTATGTAAGGTTGGATCTGGAGCCCTGGTGGCACAGTGGTTAAGAGCTCGGCTGCTAACCAAAAGGCTGGCAGTTTGAATCCACCAGCCACTCCTTGGAAACCCAATGGGGCAGTTCTACTCTGTCCTATAGGGTTGCTATGAGTCAGAATCGTCTCAACGGCAATGGGTTTAGTTTTGGAAGGTTGGATCTACAGTCAATGTCCATGGAAGCAGCAGTCAAGAAATCAAACAAGGTGTTGCATTGGGCAAACCTGCTTTCAAAATACCTCTTTAAAGTGTTAAAAAGCAAAGATGTCACTTTGAGGACTAAGGTGTGCCTGATCCAAGCCATGGTATTTTCAGTCACCTCATATGCATGTGAGAGCTGGACAATGAATAAGGAAGACCAAAGAAAAATTGATGCCTTTGAATTACGGTGTTGGTGAAGAATACTGAATATACCATGGACTGTCAGAAAAATGAACAAATGTGTCTTGGAAATAGTACAGCCAGAATGCTCCTTAAAAACGAGAATGACAAGACTTGATCTCACATACTTTGGACATGTTATTACAAGGGATCAGTCCCTAGAGAAGGACATCATGCTTGGTAAAATGGAGGCTCAGTGAGAAAGAGGAAGACCCTCAATGAGATGGACTGACACAGTGGCTGCAACAATGGGCTAGAACAGCAATGATTGTGAGGATGGCACAGAAACAGGTAGTGTTTCGTTCTGTTGTATGTAGGGTCGTTATGAGTCAGAACCGATTCAGTGGCACCTAACAACAACAAGGTTGTAACCCACTGCAGTAGGTGGTCCCATGGAATCACCTGTTGAAATGAAATGAGCTTCTGCCATATCCTCTCTGGTTCAAGGCTGGGAAATATTTCCACCCAGTTAGCAGTTGGAGCCAATTGCTCCAAGGTGTGGCTGCCTGCGTCAGGGCTGAGGGAACTTGGAGATGTCCAACTCCTGTCTGGCTGTGGAGGGGGAGATGGGCAGGCCTCACCATGCAGGATGTGATGTGTCCTGGCAGAGACCAACCCTCAGGCTGAGAGGACAGCCCAAGCTCCCTGGGAGGCTCACTATGGAACTACCACCCCAGTGTGGGTAAGTGGGCTGGTGTCTGAGCTGCTGTTTCCTGGCATGGACCATGTTGGGCATGGGCACTGGTGTGATGTGTGCGCTGCCCTGCTTGTTTCCGACTTGGTCTGGAAGCTGTGGGGTCAAAGTCACAAACATACCCGGCCGCTGTTCTTTCACAGCTCTGCTTTGGGGAATCCCAGCTGCCAAACCTCTAGGGGGAAGAGAACACGATGTTTTCACAGGGCCCGACAAACACAATCATTCAACATGCAGCTTTTAATTTTCCAGGTTGTGTGTGAAGTGGCATCCTTGCTGTATCCCTCACCCCCCATCCTCCCAAGCGGTGGGCACGGCGTGACCATTATGGAGTCTCTTGGACAGACTATAATAGGTTGTTATGTTTGATGTGGCTGCATCAGAATGCTTGTTTAATTCCAGAAGTTTCAGGGCCAAGTACACCACCATGAAACAGCCTGGCAAAGCAGTTAAGAGCGTTAGCTCTGGAGCCAGACTGGCTGGCCGGAACCATACTCCACTCTTTAGGCAAGTTATGTGGCCTCTCCACACCTCACATTTCTCATCTGTACCCCTAAAAAGTACATGAGAATAAAGGTAGACACTATTATTGTCCCCAATATAAGTTAACCTATCCAACAGGCAATTCTGGTAAAAGCCACAACATATAGAATTTTGCAACAACAGTACTAACCTCTCAACCAAAAAATATGTGAGAGGTTACATAGGTAGATATCTATGCTCATATATGTATGGGCCAGCACATAGAACTATACGGGCACGTGTGTGTAGGTGTTTCCATGGGCAAATGTATAAACACGTTTGCAAGCGCTGCATACATACTCATACATAAAATAAAGCGCAGAGGGGACAGAGTTATGGATACTTCCCAGACATAACCAAACACCTTGCAGGATTGGGTTAACTGGGTTTGAGGGCTTAAGACCATAGTCTCAGGGGGTAACCCAGTGGATTTGCATAACATAGCTCAAAGATAATGTTCTACAGCCTAGTTTGGTAAGTAGCACCTGGGGTCTTAAAAGCTTGCAAAGGGCCATCTAAGACACAACAATTGGTCTCTAGATGTCTGGAGCAAAAGAGAGAGAGAAAAGCAAAGCCTCATGAAGCTAGTCTACAGGACTAATAGTCCACACAAACCACGGCCTCATCTACCTTGAGACCAGAAGAACTAGATGGTGCCCCGCTACCACTACCGACTGCTCGGACCAGAGACCCAACAGACATTCCCAGATAGAATGGGGGAAAAATGCAGAACAAAACGCAAATTCCTAAAAAAGGCGAGACTTACTGGACCAGTAGAGACTTGAGGAACCTCTGAGACCATTGCCTTGGGATACCGTTTAAGCTTGGAACTCAAACCACTCCCAGTGGCCACATATCAGCCAATATCACACTTGAGTACTGTGCTCCTCTAAGCAATCATGTAATGAGACCTAAAGGTCAACATTTACCCTAGACCAAAAACGAGAAGGCAAAGGGGGACAAGGGAGCTAGAAATGGAGATAGAACAACCACAAAGGAATGAATGAGAAGGCTGACACAATGGGAAAAGTCTAAACAATGTCACTGAATGATACGTATAGAAATGGTTAAATGAGAACCTAATGTGCCATGTAAATTTTCTCCAAAAACACAATAAAGTAACAACAACAACAACAAAAGGGTCTACCCCATAGGGCTGTTATGAGGTTAAACGTGTTTAGCACAGTCCCTGGCACATATCAAGCGCTGACTCAGTGCTACTTCCTGTGGGCCAGGTACAGTATCTGACAATCTGTAGGTGATCCATAAGTGCTCTCTACTCGATTCAACGAGCTTTTATTAGACCCCAACTGTATGTAACCACCATCTGGCTGGGGGCACGGGAGGGAAAGGATGGAGAGGAGGTCTGGAAATGCCCAGCACACTGGCAAATGGGGTGTGGTCCCATCAACAAAGGCCGGGTATCGCTTCCTTGCACCCTGGAAGACTAGATGGAAGCTAGGGATGGGTTGGGTTCACAGGGTGTGAAGAAGGGAGGGGCAGGTATGACAGTACATATCCCAGGTGGGCTCAGGACCAGCTTGTTTCTGGAAGCTCTGTATGGGGGGAGGAGAGGAGGGGATTATCTGAGGTCTCTTGGAAATCCTGTCTGCAGGTGTGGTGGGGCAAGTCTGCTCAGAGCCTCCTGGGAAGTGGAGGGGGGAACCTGAATCACACTGCCTCCCAGGGCCATGGGGCACTCACCTGCCTCCGACTGTGGCATCACAATACCCACTGAGCAAACTTTCAGGGTGGTTCCCTGGGCCTCCCCTGGCTGGCTAAAGGTCACACTCACCTCCTGCTCTGGGCAGCTAGGCAAGGCTGTGAAGTCAGGGAGGCAGACACCGGTCCCCCTCCCAGTCCCAGGGCCACACTGAGGTCTTGTCTGGCCCCTTCCCTCCTCCATGGTGGACTTTCTCCTTCCCTCTGCAGACGCCAGGGCTTTCGCACCAGAAGGCTTGTATTTAGAGGAAAACATTAAAAAAAAAAAAAAAAAAGCCCACTATGAGTTGGAATCAACTCAACAGCAACAGCTTTGGTCTTTTTTTTTTTTAGGGATCTGAGTGGCAAGAGATTGGGGTATGTGACAAATTTCCCAGGGACAAACTTGGTTGATTTTTTGTCTTGAGGCCAGCAGTGGGGACATCCTGGCATCAGAGATCTCCCTCTGTGAAGATTTGGTAATTCTTGAGTTCTCAAGAGAAGAGGCAGAGGCAAAGGCTGGGGCAGCGGGTGCTGTCCTCAAGGCTGTTGGGGTGAAATGAAGGAGTCAGTGGTCCTAGCCCTGGGGAGTGCAGAGGTTGCCTTGCAAAGCTGGAGGAGGGATCTGGGTGCTATCACCAGCCCCTCTGGCCTGCCTGATACATCATAGCCATCCCGAGGTGGGGGGTGGGGAGCACAGCCATATTCAGACCCTCTGGACTCTACTCTGTCTTGGAGAAATTCTCCCCAGCCCGACCTGAGCAAGGCTAAGCCAGAACCTACACCAGCAGGTAACTGACCTTGGGTCATCCCACCCAGAAAGGCTTGCCAGTTTCAAGTATCCTTTAGAGAGAGAGGGCAGTGCTTCACCCAGAGAAGTGGCTGGTGGTTGATTCAGGCTTGTGACAGACATTGGTGGAGTCTGACTGTCTGGCATGCATTCCCCTAATTTCCTTTAGAAGAATTGCCTTTGC